AAAACAAAGTAGGAAGGATTACAATACCTGATATCAAACTATATTACAAGGCCACTGTAATCAAAACAGTCTGGTACTGGCATAAGAACAGATACATAAATCAATGAAACAGAATAGAGAGCCCAGAAATAAACACATCTCAGTATGGTCAGTTACCATTTAACAGAGGGGCAGGAACATAAAATGGAGCAAAAATAGCCTCTTCAATAAGTGGTGTTGAGAGAACTAGACAAATACATGTAAAATGGTGAAACTCAACCACCAGCTTACACCATACACAAAAATAAACTCAGGATGGATAAAAGATTTACATATAAGTCATGACACCATAAAAATTCTAGAGGAAAACATATTCAGGAAAATTTCAGATATACCACACAGCAATATTTTCATTGATATGTCCTCTAAGGCAAGGGAAATAAAGGAAAGAATAAATAAATGAGACTACATCAAACCAAAAAGCTTCTGCACAGCCAAAGAAAATATCTACAAAATGGAAAGGGAACCAATAATACAGGAGAACATACTTGCTGATGACACCTCGGACAAGGGTTTGATCTCCAAAATTTATAAAGAACTCACATGACTCCACAGCAGGAAGATAAACAATCCAATAAAAAAATGAGCAAAGGACCTGAACAGACACTTCTCCAAGGAGGACATACAGGTGGCCAAAGACATGTGAAAAGATGTTCAGCCTCACTAGCTATCAGAGAGATGCAAATTAAAAGCACAATGAGTAATACCACTTCACACCAGTCAGAATGGCCATCATTAATAAATCAACTGAAACAAGTGCTAGTGAGGATGTGGAGAAAACGAAACCCTAGTACCTGTTGGTGGAAATGCAGACTGGGGCAGCCATTGTGGAAAACAGTATGGAATTTCCTCAAAAAAACTAAATACTAAACTGCCTTTCCATCCAGCAATCCCACTGCTGGGATATACCCTAAGAATCATGCATCACCAATTCAAAAGAACCTATACATTCCAATATTCATAGCAGCGTTATTTACAATAGCCAAGTGCTGGAAGTAGCCTAAATGCCCATCAGTAAATGAGTGGATCAAAAAAAGGTGGTACATTCACACAATGTAATACTATGTAGCAGAAAGGAGGAGCTGCTACCCTTCACCACAACATGGATGGATCTGGAGAGCAGTGAAAAAGGTGAAAAAAGCCAGGTGGTAAAAGACAAATACCATATGATCTCACCTATTAGTGGAACCTAATCAACAAAATAAGCAAGTGAGCAAAGTAGAACCAGGGACTTGGAAATAAAGAACAAATTGACAGTGACCAGAGGAGAGGGGACAGGGGGGTTATGGGGTTAAGAAGGGGAAAGAGCAAGCAAAGGAGCACAAATGGAAGACTCATGGGCATGGACAATGGGTGGGGAATTGACTGAGGGGGTAGAAGGGATGGTGTAGGGGAGATCAATGGGGGAAAAGGCATGATAACTGTCACTGAAGAACAATTATTTTTTAAAAACTCTCTCATTTTTCCATAGGTTGCATTTTTATTTTAAAATTGTAAGAGTTATTTATGTATTCTGGATACACAAGATACATATCAGATATAAGATTTGCAAATATTTTCTTCCATTCCATAGTTCATCTTTCACTTTCTAGTTTATATCACTTGTCACACAAACATTCTTCATTTTGAAGTTCATTCAATTTCTTGTTTCTTTGCTTGTGCTTTGCTGTCTCCTATAACATAGCCTATGCCAAGGTCATACTCCCTGACAACTACCATTTTGCTTTCTCTCTATGAATTTGACCACTCTAAGTACCTCAGAAATGCAGACTCATTCACTATCACATCTAGATGGGGCTGGCTTATTAGGTAGATAAGGTCTACAAGTACCATCCATGTTGTTGCACATGCCAGAATTTTATTCCTTTTCAAAGCTAAATAATATTTCATTGCATGAATATGCCATATTTCATTTCTCTATTTATCTGTCTATCTGTCTGATTTGGGAGTTTCTACCTTTTCTCTATTGTAAATAGTGCTGTTATGAGAATGGCTGCATAAATATCTGTCCATGCACTTAATTCTTGTGGTATATATCTAGCTGTGGAATTGCAGGATAATATGCTACTTCTATGTTTAATCTTTTGAGGAACCCCCATACTGTTTTCCACAGAGGCTGTATAATTTTACATTCCACCAACAGTGCACAGGGGCTCCACCATCTTTGCACCCTCTTCAACACTTGATATTTTCTGAATTTTTTTGTAACAGCTCCCCTACTAGTTGTAGGTTTGACCTGCAATTCCCTAACAATTAGTGATGTTGAACAGCTTTTCATGTGTTTTTTGGCCTTGTAAGTATCTTCTTAGGAAAAGCATTTTTTCTACTTCTTTACCCATTTGGTAATTGGGTTAGTTGTTTCCTTGGTGTTGAATTGTAGGAGTTATTTACATATTATGGATATTCATTCTTCATCAGATATATAATTTGCAAACATTTACTACAATTTCAATGGGGCACCTTTTCACTTTGTTGATAGTGCTCTTTGTTAGAAAAGTTTTTAATTATGATGAATTCAAATTTATCTACTTCTGTTTTCTGTATTTTTGGTACCATGTCCAAGAAATTATTGCAAACTCCAATATTTTAAATATTTCCCCCTATGTTTTTTTCTAAGAATTTTATCATTTTAACTCTCACATTTAAATTTCTGGTCCATTTGTAGTTAAATTTTATGTATAGTTTAAGTAAAGGTCTCAGCTTATTCTTTTGCTTATATCTGATGTCCATTATCCCAATACCATTTGCTGAAAAGACTGTCCTTTCCCTCACTGAATGATCATGCCACGCATGTGGAAAAGAACTAGACCACATATGTGAGGGTTTGTTTCTGAGCTCCCAATTGTATGCCAATTGGAAAATTTCAGCTTTCTTATTTTGTTGCCCAAAGTAATACGCCAGCTTCTAAGAAGGTACAAAAGAGGCCTGGGGTCAACTTCTGTCTTTTTCAACTTCTGTCTTTTTATTTTAGCTTCTATTGAACATAACTTAGAATTTGGAAATTTTCTTTTACTGCTCATAGTGCTAAAAAAGAATATTTATGGAGAAAGACATTTTACAATTGGTAATCAGACAAATGCAGAGAAAAAGAGAGCAGAGCAGACTTTTCACTGAAAATATACAGATGCCAAATAAACACATTAAATGTATTCAACATCATTATCCATTAGGGAAGTGCAACTTAATACCACGATGAGATAGTTTGCACACCTAATTAAATGGCTTAAAGATAGAGTTGGTGAGGGTGCCAAAAAATTACTGGGTCATTCATATATTGTTGATGTAAATGTCAAATGGTCAGCAGCTCTGGAACAGTTTGGCAGTCACTTTTAAAACTGTAAGGTTACATACTGCTTGTCACTTTGTCAAAATAAAGAACAAACTGACAATAAGCAGAGAGGAGGGGGATAATAGGAGAAAGAAGGTGAAGGGTATTCAGTAAACATGTATAAAGGAACCATGGACAAAGCCAAATGGGGGTAGGATTGAGGGTAAGAGGTGTGGGTGGGTGGGATGGGGAAGAATGGTTGGGGGGAAATGGAGACAACTGTACTTGAATAACTAAAATAATATAAAATAAAGCTTGAAGTTCTACAAAAATAAAACTCTGTAAAAGGCTTACCATCAACCCCACAATTTCACTCTTGGGCATGTTTCCCAGAGAATTAAAAATTCACTTTTATGCAGAGTCTTCTACATGAATGTTCATTGCAGATTTATTTATAATAGCAAAAAATGCCAACCAACCTACTGTCCTTCAGTGAGTGAATAATTAAATAAGTTTTGATATATCTATATAAAAATACCAATCATCAATAAAAAGGAATGAAATATGTATATATACAACAATTCAGATTCAGTTCATGAAAATTATGAGAAAGCAAAAAAGCCAATCTGAAAGAGATACAAGCTGTATGAATATGTGTATGTAACATTCATGAAATATATATTTAGAGAAATAGAGAGTAGTTTAGTGCTTGCCAGGATTTAAAAATGAGGTATGGAGGGGGTCGGTGTAGCTATATGGAGTAATATTAGTTTAGTGATAATACATGTAGTGATACAGTCCTATACCTTGACTTTGGTGGCATCTACACCAATTTGAACATGTAGCAAAATTGCCTGGAAGTAAATACATAAACACATATGTATTCACGACAACACACTGATACACCCACATGAGTGCAGGTATACAATGCTGAAGTTCGAAAAATGTCTATGCATTTTACCAATGTCCATTTCCTGGTTTTGATATTGCACTACAGTATTGCGACAAGTTTCTGTGGATGGAGGCACCACAGAACCCTCAATAAGTGAATTAATAAGCACACTATAGTATATCTTTTCAATAGAAGGCTACTTAAAAACAAAAATGAATTAACTATTAAAACATATGACAACAGGAATGAATCTCAAATGCATATGACATACTGAAAATGAAAATCTTTAGGGACAGAGAACAAGTAATTGCTTTTTAGGAATTAGCAGTAGGGAATGAGTGTAAAGGGGAAGAAAGAGGGAGGATTTGGGTGATAGATCTATTGTGCATCATGACAATAATTGATGGGAACAAAAGTCTGTTAATGTTTTTTTCTGTACCCATAGAACTGTATACCACAGAGTAAAACTGCTAATGTGCATAAATTTTCTAAAGCCAAATATGTTTAATAAAAATAAATATTAATAAAGAGAACTGGCTGGTGTGGCTCAGTGGATTGAGTTCCAGCCTGCGAACCAAAGGGTCACCAGTTTCATCCCTGCTCAGGGCACACGCCTGGGTTGCAGGCCAGGTCTGTAGTAGGGGGTGCTTGAGAAGCAACCACACATTGATGTTTCTCCCCCTCTCTTGCTCCCCCCTTCCCCTCTCTCTAAAAATAAATAAATAATTTTTTAAAAAATAAAAAACAGACAATGGCTGCGGGTTTCCCTCCAAATTTCCAAGAGTATATCAACCTATAAATTCAATAATCTCGGCAACCCAAACAGGATAAATTCAAAGAAAAACACATCTTGGTAAATCCTAGTGAAACTGTGAAAAATCAAAAATAGAAAATAAGTCTGAAACTCAGAGAAAAAAAATAAAAGAATCATTATATTATTGAGATGAATAATGACAACTGTATTCTCATCAGAAAATGGAAGCCTGGATATCATGTGCTTACCCCTGTGAACTGCTGAGAGAAACAATTCTCAATGTAGAAATACACTTCCGTGAAGACTACCTTTCACAAACTAAGACATTATAAAAATGTTTTCAAGTAAAACTAAGACTGAGACATATGGTCACCACAAGATACACACACAAAAAGAAATACAAAAGGAAGTTTTATCAGGCTAAAAGGAAAAGACCCATATGGAAATTTGAATGTGCCAGAAGAGTTGAAAAGCCCTACAAAACAGTAAATAGGTGGACAAATGTAAATATTTATATTTTAAAATTTTAACAATCTATTATCTATTTATTGCAAATAATAATGTAGTATCAGGTTTATAATATAATATATAAATAAAATATATAACAACAAAAGTGCCAACAATGAAAAGATGTTAATAGAATTAAACTGTGATGAGATTTATACATTGTGAAGTTTAGAAAAATCAAATATACTACATTTGTTCCTGAATGTTCACCAAATAAATGCAAAAATGTTTTGTACCATTTACTATCCATATGCTATGGGGGTGAAAGACTTGGTTATTTTTACCTTTCTATAGTATAGTTAACTTTAAAGATGCAACTTGGTTACAAACTAGCATATCACAATAGTTAACATCCTTGGAATATAGACTGTCAAATAAAACTGTCACCTATTCTGTAATTTAATAACACCAATCTAGAAACCTCTGCTGTATCAGTAGAAATATTTGGGTAACCATGGTTAAAATTCAGGGGAAGCCTATTAAAATGTTCACTTCTGGATTTGAATTAAAAGCCTATGTAAAATTTTGATTGACAGTATGATTTAGAGCTGTACTGTTTAATGTAGTAGCCACTAGTCACAAGTGGCTATTTAAATTTAAATTAAACACAGTAAAATAAAATGGACATTTTAGTTCCTTCATTACACTTTCCACACACGAGGTGCTCAACAACCACATCCAAAGTGGAGCTGAAGAATATTTCTAGAAGTGTAGAAAGTCCTAATGGAGCACACTGATCTAGATACTGACCTTCAGAAAACAACCAAAACCCATCATCTACGCTTCCTCCTGGGGATGACGGTGATGATGAACATCTGGGAGGGGCATATCCATAATCACACTGACAATTGCCTCTAGTGTTACAAATCTTAAACCAAAACCAAATGAAAAATGAGAACACATATATGCAATTTATATATGCAATATAAAAATTGAATACACTATTTGTCATTGTTAGTCAATGTACATTATTAAAGTATTCGAACTTAGTATGTCATAGGTAGTGCTTATTTTAATGTGGAAAATAATTCTTAAAATAAAATTTGATAGAATACATGTCCATTCACTATCTTTTCAAATGTCAAAGGAATTTCCTGTTGTCTCTTGTATTGTTAAATAATAGATAACATTGTTGAATCAATTGAAATAGCTTACTCTAGAAAAGCATAGAGATTATGAGACCAGAAAATATAAAACTGTGGGAGTTTAAATTTATTATGAGTTGTGCTAGATAAGAAAAACTAGCTATGACCAGAGCCGACCTTTACAAAAAAATACAGGGGAGCATCTAAAGGAAGCACTTGCTTGAACAGACATGGATAGCAAAATTTATTTTGCTAGAAAATAAGAAGCCTATAAAATAACTACATATGTGCCCTAACTGGTGTGGCTCAGTAGGCTGGAGCATGATCCCATAACCAAAAGGCTGCGGGTTTGATTCCTAGCCAGATCACATGCTTATGTTGAAGGTTCAATCCCCAGTCAGAGCATAAATGGGTGTCAGTCAATTGAAATTTCTCTCTCACATCAATATTTCTCTCTATCCCTTCCTCTCTCTCTAAAAAAATGTCCTCTGGTGAGGATAAAGAAATAACAATAATTTTAAAAAGTACTTATAAATGTGATATGGTAGATGAATTGAAAGAAGGGTCAGAAGCAGAATAGAGAATCTGGAAATAGATTCGTGCAAAAATGTAATTAAAATTAGGGAAGGAAAGAAACAGAAAATAAACTGTAAATAATAGGACATTTTAGTGATGTGGGAGAAAATTTTGAATCAAGACATACAGATACATCACTTTTTTCCTAGATCACTATATATCATATGAAGCATCAATATGGCAGAAGACACTAGCTACAAATTTAAAGCCAAAGGCATGCTTGAAAACCTTCAAAGTTTACATTTCTATAACCCAGTAGATAATTTCACAATGTATGGACAAATAGAAGTGCAAATGGCAAATATTACCATACATACATACTTAAGAACTGTATCATTAATTATTAAATAAATGCAAATTAACAATGGATTTAGCACATTAGAATAGATTAAAAAACTGACAAACTAGTCACACCAGAGTTTGAGGAAATGCACCTTTTTGCACATGATAAGTGGAAGTAAAAACTGGTGTACTGTTTCTTGACAATATAATATTACCAAAAATTTTAATGCTGCATACATTTGGTCCAAAAGATTTTATTGCTAACAATTTAAGAAATCAGATAAATATGAAAAAGTGAATTCACAACAATATCCATTGCAGCACTATTTATAATAGGTAAGTAAAAATTAATATTGTACCCTAGTCCATTAGTGAATGACTTCAAATACTGTGTGGAACAGACATACAGGAGACTACAAATTGAAGCCATTGAAGGGTGAAACAGATCAGAATAGACAAGAAAGTCTGCCCTAACAAGAATAGTAGACTATAAGTAATATAAGTAATTAAATATATTCTGCATATTTAAATACATAACAGTAAACATACACTCAATCATAGTGTTTATACTTATGTATAAATATATATGTATAATCTTTAATAAATATATTCCCAAAATTTCACAATCTTGATCTAATGATATATTTGTATTGCATTTTATACAAAGTTTTTATATGGCGTTTTGCACAAAGTTCAAAGCTCATAACTAATAGGACCTGTAACGGTCTGATTGAACATATAATTCATGTGTATGTGTATAAATAATTCCTTATTTGACAGCAACTTTCCATAAGAAATTTCCACATCAAATAATTCTGAACCTTATTACCTTGGAAATGTTACTGATGTGAATTCTTTATAAAACTATACATAAAAATAGAGTAACCATTACATACCCCGTGTCCTTGGCATTTCTCTGTTGAATTACAGGTTACTGGATTGTTGTAATTACTGACAGGTTTGCAAACTCTTCCATGACAAAACTACAATTTAAAAAACAAGCAACAACAAAACACATGAAATATGAAGAGTGGGCAATCATTCTTAGTACAGAACAGAGGTACACACTTTGTAGGCACAGGGGGTTGGCAAAAGTAGGTTTACAGTGGTATGTATGGAAAAAGATCTGCAGGTTTGGATTCTTTACATTATGTATGCATTCTTGTAGTTTACTCTGTTTCACATACTCACAACTGTACCTTTGCTTTTGCCCACTCCTGTGTATATAAAACAAATGAATCTGAATTTTATGACATCTATTCACTCAATAAAACAACTTATGTTACCAAATATGAAATATTGAAAATCAGATACTATTTTTTCCTTGAGGAGACAGATCTGTGAGTTGATTGATACTAATTGGCACAAAAATGAAAATAGCCAACCTGTACTGCCCATTTGCTAGGATGTATCTTAGCACTTTCTATGCATTTTTATAATATACTTGTATATTCATACTGACCCTGTAAAAGATGTTTTTATACTTATGTATATTTCATAAGAATTAACTTTACACTTTTAAGGGCACACAGTGAGTTATTAACTGGGCCCATATTCAGTACAAGAACTATTTTACTCACAGAACCTAATGATCAGTGCTAAATTCTACCATTTCTGTAATTTTCACATTTTTTCAAACTTTAGTAACAATATCTCTAATCTTTTACATTGGCAATGTGATTTTGAGCAAGTTATTTATTCCTCCATACCTCAGTTTATCCATCTTGGAATTTGAAATAGTAATCATACCCAAATGATTAAAAAGTATACATATAGTTTATGAGGATGAAATCATTTGTTACACATGAAGAAATAAAAGCAGTGTTTGAAGCAAAGTGCTCACTAAATACAGGATTAATTTTAATTATTTATTTGTTTAACCTAATTTTCTTTTTTATTAAATCATTTTGATTGTTATTTGATTGTTATTCTATTACAATTGTCCCCATTTTCCCCCTTTGCCTTCCCCTGCCCATCTTACACTCACACCCCACTCCCACAGTCCATGGACACAATGTTGGCCATTCATAAACGTCTAGGTCTAGTCCCTTCCCCTTCTGTCCCCCAATAGTCACTTCACCACTAACTCCCCTCTGGTCACATTCACTCTCTTCTACACTTCTTTGCCTGTGGTTCTACCTTGTTCATTAGTTTATTTTGTTCATTAGGTTCCTCTTATAGGTGAGATCATATGGTATTTGTCTTAAACTGTCTAGCTTATTTCACTTACCATAATGCTCTCCAGATCCATCCATGCTATCACGAAAGATAGGAATCCCTTCTTTCTTTCTGCTGCATAGTACTCCATTGTGTAAATGTACCACTGTTTTTTGATCCACTAATTTACTGATGGGTACGTAGGCTGCTTCTAGTACTTGGCTATTGTCAATTGTGCTGCTAGGAACATTGGGATGCATAGGTTCTTTTGAATTGGTGATTCAGGATTCTTAGGATATAGTCCCAGCAGTGGAATCACTGGGTCAAAAGGCAGTTTCATTTTTAGTTTTCTGAGGAAATTCCATACTGTTTTCCACAATGGCTGCACCAGCCTGCATTCCCACCAACATAGCACTAAGGACCCATTTTCCCACATCCTCTCCAACACTTGCTGTTTGTTGATTTGTTTATGCTAGCCATTCTCACAGGTGTGAAGAGGTATCTCATTGTGGTTTTAAATGCATCTCTCTGATGCCTAGTGATGCAGAGCATCCTTTCATGTCTCTGGGCCCTCTGTATTTTCTCCTTAGAAGAGTGTCTGTTCAGGTCCTTTGCCCATTTTTTAATTGGATTGATTGTCTTCCTGCTGTGGAGTCATGTGAGTTCTTTATATATTTTGGAGATCAAACCCTTGTCTGATTTATCATTGGGAAATATATTTTTCCATACTATTGGCTCCCTTTTCATTTTCCTGATGTTTTCTTTAGCCATACAGAGGCACTTTAATTTGATGAAGTGCCATTTGTTTATTCTTTCCTTTATGTTCCTTGCTTTAGGGGACATATCAGTGAAAATACTGCTGCAGGGGATATCTGAAATTTTCCTACCTATGTTTTCCTCTAGGACTTTTATGGTGTCACAACTTATATTTAAGTTTTTTATAAGTTTATTTTTGTGTATGATATAAGTTGGTGGTCGAGTTTCATTTTTTTTGCATGTGGCTATCCAGATCTCCCAACCCCATTTGTTGAAGAGATTATTTTTGTTCCATTTTATGCTACTGTCCCCTTTGTCAAATATTAATTGACCATAAAGACATGGGTTTATTTCTGTGATCTCTATTCTGTTTTTTTATTTATGTGGGTGTTCTTATGCCAGTACCAGACTGTTTTGATTACAATGGCCTTGTAATATAGCTTGATATCAGGTATTGTGATCACTCCTACATTGTTCTTCCTTCTAAAAGTGGCTAGGAGCCTTCACTGGTGTGGCTCAGTAGATTGAGTGTGAGCCTGTGAACCAAAGGTTCGCTAGTTTGATTTCCAATCTAGGGCACACGCCTAGGTCCAGGATCAGGTCCCCAGCATGGGCATACAAGAAGCAACCACACATTGATCTTTGCCTCTCTTTCTGCCTCCTTTCCTCTCTGTCTGAAAATAAATAAATAAAATATTTTTTAAAATTAAATTAAATTTAAAAATGGCTAGAAAATTCAGTCTCATTTATGGTTCCACGTAAATTTTTGAAATGTTTGTTCTATATCTGTGAAATATGTCATTGGTATTTTAATAGGGATTGTGTGGAATCTATAAATTGCTTTGGGTAGTATGGATATTTTTATGATGCTAATTCTACCAATCCATGAGCATGGTATATGCTTCCATTTATTTCTGTCTTCCTTAATTTCTTTCTTCAGTGTTGTGTAGTTTTCTGAGTACAGGTCTTTTACTTCCTTGCCTAGGTTTATTAGTAGGAACTTTATTTTTCTTATTGCTATAGTAAATGGGATTTTTTCCTAATTTCTGTTTCTGATATTTCATTGTTGGTGTACAAAAATGCTTTTGACTTCTGAATATTGACTTTGTATCCCTCTGCTTTTCCAGGTTCATTTATTAGGTCAAGTAGTTTTTTGGTGGAGTCTATAGAGTTTCCCATGTACACTATCATGTCATCTGCAAACAGTGACAGTTTTACTTACTCCTTTCCAATTTAGATGAAATTTATTTCTTTTTCTTGTCTGATCACTGTGGCTAGAATTTCCAATACTGTCTTGAATAGAAGTGGTGAAAGCAGACACCCTTGTCTTGTTCCTGACCTTAATAGGAAAGCTTTTAGTTTTTACCTATTGAGTATGATGTTGGCTGTAGGTTTCTCATATATGGGCTTTATTGTGTTGAGGTATGCTTCCTCTACTCCTACTTTGCTGAGTGTCCTTATCATAAATGGGTGCTATACTTTATCAAATGTTTTTTCCACATCTACTTATATGATCATGTAATTTTTTGTCATTCCTTTTGTTTATGTGATGTATAATGTTTATTGATTTGTGAATATTGTATCATCCTTGTATCCCTGGGATGAATCCCCACTTGATCATAGTATATGGTCTTTTTAATGTATTTCTCAATCCTGATTGTATTTTGTTGAGGATTTTAGTATCTATATTCATCAGCGATATTGGCCTGTAGTTTTCTTTCTTTGCCATGTCTTTGTCTGGTTTGGGGATTAGAATGATTTCGGCCTCGTAAAGACAGTTTGGGAGTCTTCCATCTTCTTGAAATTTTTGGAATAGTTTGAGAAGGATAGAAGTTAGTTGTTCATTAGACATTTGATAAAATTCATCTGTGAATCCATCTGGTTCAGGGCTTTTGTGTGCCAGGAGTTTTTTATTATTGTTTCAATTTCACTAGTTGTTATTGGTCTATTCAGGCTTTTTGCTTCTTCTTGACTCAGTTTTGGCGGATTGCATGTTTCTAGAAATGTGTTCATTTCACCCAGATTGTCCAATTTCTTGACATATAGTTGTTCATAGTAATTTCTTACAATCATTTGTATACCTGTGATCTCAGTTGTAACTTCTCCTCTTTCATTTCTGATTTTATTTACATGGGTCCTCCTTCTTTTTTTCTTGATAAGTCTGGTTAAAGATTTGTCAATTCAAAGAACCAGGTCTTGGATTTATCAATGCTTTGACTTGTTCTTTTAGTGTCTATGTCATTTAATTTTTCTCTGATCTTGACTATTTCCTTCCTTCTATTCACTCTGGGCATTTATTGTTGTTGTTGCTCTAGTCCTTACAGAAGTAGTGTTAGGGTTTTTATTTGAGATTTTTCTATTGCCTTTAAATAGGCCTATATTGCTCTGAACTTTCCTCTCTGTACTGCCTTTGCTGTGTCCCATAGGTTTTGGTTTGTTGTTTGTTCATTTTAATTTTTTCCAGATACTCTTTGATTTCTTCCTTGAACTCATTATAGACCCATTCATTATTTAATAGCATGTTATTCAGTCTTCATATATTTGAATGTTTTTGATAAACTATTCTCCTGTTCTAAGTCCTATAAATAAAACATTTAAAGACTCTATCACAACGAATACTTAGCAAATTTGTATTGTTGAAATAATGCCTATCTCCATGTAGTATATTGCTCACTTAGTATCACAATATGAAATTTATAAGTGTTTTTTAGAATTATGTAATAAGTAAGATAGACTTTTTTTCATATTTATAAATAAGAAGTAACTTCTCTCTGTTTTTGATCAATGAAACCATATACACAGATACATCAATTAATAGATCAATCAACTGATAACTTTTACAAAGGACCTACATTAAATGAGAGTGAGGTAAAGAAGCCTTAACTTTCCAACCTCTCTAAAATTGACTGAATAATTCAGGATAATAAATGAAAATAAACTTGATTTAAAATACCCTCAGTATGATTCTAATTTTAGATTGACAGGTTTAGTACACACAATAGCCTCCTTTTTCCCCAATAAATGAGGGTAAAGGGGAATCAGAAAGAGGCAATTAGAAGATGAGAGATTT